GACTCAGGAACTATATCTTCAGGTTTGTTCCAATGGCCTTTATAGAGAGTCTGTATGTTTCCAAATCAGGACCAATCTGCAGAATTCACAACGAAGGGACTCAAACGAAGGCGGAGAACTGTCATAGCAATGATTTGGAGTGTTAGTACTGTAGGAACCTTTTGGAGTTCCTTTTTAGTAGTTTAGCTGAGGAATAGGACCACTGCTTTGGACTTTCTTTTAGATCCTACTCTGAGATAAAGCCTGGTTTAACAGGAAGTACCCATTTGCATACAGCAGTGAGAAATTTATGTAGCACACCCATATGCTAAGCTAAGCCTATTGCCTATTTTAGAGTAAATACAGCCTATTTTGTTTGTGAAAAATGTGCAGAAGGTATGTGCTTTGTGCATTTGGGGACAATGTTTAAGTGGATGTAGCAAAAGTTAGAGACTTTTTGGTTTGGTTTACAAAAAATATCAAAATTAAAGATTAAGTAAATTTTGTCTTTAAATGTTAAACCAGCAAGAAGGGTGCATACCCATGTTCTCCAGTTCCCCAGATTCAGATGGGGTAAGGTAAGGTACTGATAAACACAGGGCCAATCAACCAATCCATCTGATAATTCTAAAGAAGTTAAGTTAGCTGGCTTTGTGTGTATGAGCAAGGGGACTACGTTCTTCTAACTATATAGGGCTGGGGAATTATTGGGTACACAGCAAATTCAAGTGTTAAATTCACAGTGTTGGTGTTGTTGTGAGGAAAGTCCAGATGTGTTTGAACATAGTCAAGAGTTCTTCCAACTATGACAGTGTTGATTCACAGTGTTGACATAAAACGAGTAGTTGTTGATTCACAGTGTTAACGTCAAACACTTACAAAGTGTGTATTTTGAATATGCAGTATTCAAAGTATACACATAAATATAGTATTTTGAATGTGTTGGGCTTCTGTAACGTTTCCAGCCGGAGAGCTACAGATGGCAGCAGTTTTATATGCTAGCTGCACTGCGCTGGTAGCGGGACACATGTAAGTTAAAACTTTTGAAATGTCTTGGTAGCAGTTTTATACTTATAATACTGTAAAATGTTAGATGTTAATTATTTGAATTTACCAGGACTATACAGTGTACAAATGTCTGACTGTAATATTGTGCTAGCAGTAACTGCTACTTGGCGCTTAGCCTTGGGCATGCTTTACTTAGGGTGACCAAACATCTGTTTTTCCCCGGACGTGTCCGTATTTTGCGTCATGTCCGGGGCGTCCGGGTTTTTTTTAATAAAGTGATGCAAATGTCCGGGTTTTCAGTACCTTTCATTAGGGGCATTAAACTAAGCGTCTCGCTGAGTCACAGACGCTACGTCTGTGACTCAGAAGGAGCAAGCAGACACAAACAGTCGGTCAGTCTGCAACATACCGAAGCACAAATGCGCATTTAACAATGACTTATACAAGAAATTCTCAGTTTTTCGTCCCGGTCGGGACAAGTGGGAGGCCATGTGCACAGGTTGCGAGGTGAGAGTACAGTGTCCCTCGCTTATCGTGGGAGGTACGTTCTAAAAATAGGTGAAATCCGCGAAGTTGTCAACTTTATATTTTACAATTATTCTATCTGTTTTAAGGCTGTAAAACCCCTCAACACACATTTTATACACGTTTCTCAGACAGGACAGGTGCAACCCTTTTTACTTCCTTCTTAAAACTTGTTGCTGCTGTCGTCCTTATGTTATTTTCCGCCTTTATGTAACAAACTGAAGATTCATTTATTCCATAATGGAGCCCAACAGCGCAGAGTCCCGCACGGGTCCATTTTTGGAGACCCCCAGTACAACACCGCACCCGCGCAGGACAGGACCGCACCTGCCTGTTAACCCGAGATTATATCAAACTTTTGCGCTGCCTACGACACGGACTGAACCAAGACTAACCCAGGACTGATTCCAGGACTGAAAAGGAGGACTAATCCACGACTGAACTAGGACTAAAACAGGACTAAACCAGGACTAAACCAGAAGTGAAACAGGACTCACCGTCAGGACGGGCTTGGAGGTGACCACAGGAGAAAGGACCGGCTCAGCTCCGTACCTCACGGAGTTAAACGCGGGAATTGCCTGATCGCGCTTTGCGGACAAACTGCTCGGCGTTTTCTCTCTTAAGTCCAAGATTAGTCCTGGTTTAGGCCTGGTTTAGTCCTGACCCACCCGTGTGTAATTACTACCCGCTTGTAATACACAATACGCATTCATACGCTGTAAAAAATTGCAAAATTGCACTAAAAAAAAATCTGAGGTAATCCCCCCCCCCCCCAAAAGGTGTCCAGGTTTTCACAAACGGAAATATGGTCACCCTAGCTTTACTGAGTTAACTCACGCTCTCCTCTGGGTCACATTGACCCGAATTTTTTTTTTTTTTTCCTTCCCGCTTTCTAGGAGCAGGTCAATCACACCCAAAACATTTTTTTCAAATAAATTCTCACCAGGCAAGAAAATACATTTTTGGGTCTGATTGACCCGCCCCAAGAGAGCGGGAAGGATTTTTTTTTTCTTTGGGTCAATGTGACCTCGAAGAGAGCGTGAGGGTTAAGAAGTTATCAAATATATCATAATAGCGTATTTAGAGTGAATAATGTTCCACTGATGATTCTGCTACTTGAACAAGAAAAAAGCAACAGACATTCATGTACTCTCAGCGGCTACACTGCAGCTGACTCTCTGTGGGGAAAGACCGCGATTCCCGGTGTTTATGCAGGCTGCACATCGTGGGCAGCTGGAATGCGGTATACGCTCCGTAACCTGGAGTGGACTGGGCACTAGAGGAGGTGGAATTTATATATTTTTTTTATTTATTTATTTATTTATTTTTTAATACATTTAATTTATTTTTTTATTTTTTTTTTAAAGCAAATTAAACATTTTCAATAATACAGTAAGCCTTGCATAACCAAGGTTATAGGCTTGGTCAGTTTAAAGAAAGGTTTTGAGTACAAAAAATAGGCAAAAATAATGCACATGCAGCATATTCAGATGAGGAGTCAGTTTAATATGCATGTCTTAAAGGGAGAAGATGAGCGTGAAGAGACACAGAAGCACGGAGGTGCAAATAATAATAATTTCAACAACAACAATTTATATCATGGGAGGATGTTGTTGTTGCTAATATCATATGAATGAGTTGTATTATTGTTATATTAAGAGCTGAGGTATAATAAAAAAATTAAAAAAAAAACACTACATTAACATCTAAAGTTAACATACACTTAATACATCTATTTGTCATGTGTGAAATGTATATTTTTAAATAAAACCTGAAGCTATAAAATAAAGCTGTTCCAATCACCACACCTATCTTAAATTCAACTTCTGCAAACATATTTTTCAAACTGAAAACAACCACACCTAAAAAAATCCTATCCATATTTTACCATGGCTAAATCATCAAGGTGTGACAGCAGTTTTAGATGCTACCAACATATTTGGTAAACTGAAAACCACCACACCTAAAAAAAAATCTGATCATGTTGGCATGTTTCTCCCCGTGTCTGGATGGGTTTCCTCCGGAAACAGTTGATAGTCATGGTCAGTTAAATACAATCAGTTCAATCATTGTGTGTCCTTAGGCAAGACACTTCACCCACATTGCCTAGTGTGAGTGTGTGTGTGTGAGTGTGTGTGAGTGGTGGTGGTCGGAGGGACCAATGGCGCCGACTGGCATGGCAGCTGCACTTCTTTCAGTCTGCCCCATGGCAGCTGTGGCTACAATAGTAGCTTACCAGGTATAGAGTGAATGAAAAATGCTCTGTAAAGCGTCTTTGGGGACAAAAAAATGTCTGTGAAAAGTGCTATATAAATAAAGACTTACTTCCTTACTTACCTTGTTCCTCATCACACACTCTGTTACAGCTAGTTTGATTTTAGACTCAGTTTGAAATTTAACAAAAATAAAATCACTTGCAATAAATATTGATTTTATCCAATGTTTTGTTTAGTTATTTATTTAGCAGAAATTCCTTATGGACAAAATCAATATATCATTATATATATATATATATATATATATATATATATATATATATATATATATATATATATATATATATATATATATATATATATATATATATATATATATATATATATACACACACACATATACATGTTTATGTTACATGTTAAGTGTGACATAAACAGCAGACATCTAAATGGCTAACAAAGGTACCTATAGCCTTCCTGTGAGAGACAGGATTAGACAAAGAATAGTGTGGCTTTTAACATTTCTTACTGGAACAACAGAAAGAACAACACCCAATACTAAAATTTCCACCACACAAGCTGGTATAGCGACGATAGGAGTCAGTTTGTGGCTGCACTATTATAAAGAAATATAAGAACTTAAAGGGAGTCTGAAAAGTTTGAGGTAGCTGTAGGAGCTTGTCAGAGATGCTAGACATCATACATTTGTGATTATTAGGTTACATAAGACATTAGGTTACATGGACTTAACACCAAAATATCCCCAAGCAATAGCAATCAAATATAATCAATGTATTGAGTCAAATTTTCCATAATTTCTTCTATTTGTTTGAGATTTTTACACCAACATTTTTGTATTATTATAAATCACTTAAAAGTGCAAGACAAATTAGAATCAGAATGAAAATAACAACATCTTGGCATTATACAGGGACAGATACAGGAGAAACAGGTTTCACAACCCACATTCATTCTCATGAGGAACAGAGCCTATAATAGAGAGTAAGGAGGGGGCAAGAGTCTTCTTGGCTGATCTGCTCACTAATTGGTTACTTGAACTTGATGTATGGACCAATCAGGTGGCAGCAATGGCAGCTTCACTTGGGCCTGTATGTCGTGGTGACCCCTCCCACCTCCTGAGGTTTAAAATGAGAGGGAGGCTGGCTACTTCAGAGGCTACCATAATTTTCCTGTTGGGCTTTGAACTTTTTTACCATCATTCTCTGTGGTCCTCTGCACAAAAAGAGAACTCCTTTAGTTTGATTGGTGGATATTTTTGTACCTATAGCGCCACACCTGTTGGATCAAAACTTATATAACTTTGTCTATCTACTATTTGCTTCTGCTACTGAGTAAAAAAAAGAAGAAACTTCACACTCTTCACATCACTATCATTATTTTAATCTAGGTATGTATCTGAATGCTTTATCTAACAAGAATGCAAGATTGTCCTAACAGTGTCCTATAGCATAATATAACTGTTTATTTTATAGACACAAAATCACCAGTGTGTACATGTATGTGGATTTGAAGACATTTTAGCTTGGTCAAGTAGTGACACTAAGTGAAAGTGCATGCCTGTTCTTGAAATAGCTCTGACTGAAATTACTCTGTAGCCAAATTGGTTTTTAGGCCACGGGTGCGAATGTTATGCTATATCATTGATTTTGTTAAGTGACATACAGTATTACAACTTCTATTACACTTTATGTAATTCTTAGTATTTGAAATGCATTGACAGCCAGCATACATGAAGTAGTAATACTATTTTTACTCGTGCAATGAAGTATTGCCAAAAGTTGTGTCACAGTTCCTCATTATGTAAACAAAACATCCTTTGGCTGTATAGTAAATTGAATTTCTCTTTAGACTAATCCTATTCAAATACCTATTCAGATTAAAGATAAGTTTTGAATCACATGTTCCTGACAGTCAAAAGTACCTAGTGTGTGGAAATAGGCTGGCTGTCTACACTGAATAGTTGTCTTTATGTTATTGATAACTGTTTATGTAGCTGTGCAAACATTTTGGCAGTATTCCCAGTGCTTTCTCATAGTAAATGACGTTTTATTTTAGCTGGACTGTAGCCTGCTCCAATTTCAAGGTCTCATTTGATGACCAGAAGGCCTGAGATGTACCTCCACGTCTTAACAGGAGGCCTTGAGTTGTGGCAGAAGTGCAGGGGTGCAGGAGGCTGGTTGCTGAATGGAAAATTACTGAGAGGCAGCGATGGGGAGGCGTGTGTAGTGGGAGGGTTATTTTAGTAGAAAGAGTTTTACTGTCAGCATACTTCACCTGTGTAAAAGAGAAAAACTGAAAATGTCTCAATAGCAAAGAAAAAGTTACAAAAGCCACTTGGATACACTGTCAAGGGCACACTTAAATCAGTGCTTTTATGGTGTTTTTATAGGCTTACATTATGGGGTTAGGGTCATGTAGTGCTTTAGTCTGAAAGTGATGTGTTTACAGTTTTCCCATGCATGTAAATGGTTTGCATCTGTTGGATCTCTGGCGTAAATCCAATAGTGGACCAGAGTTAGAAGTCAGTTGCTGTAATCTCCAGTGCTTTCTTGTACACTATATTTTCAGATGCAAGCAAGAGATTTAGTGTTTGTTACATCAAGGCACTGCTACCACCAGTGGCTTGATGTAATTGTAATTAATTATAAATCAGAAGACAACAATAACGAACAAACACTAAGTTACATAAAGTTGTATTTCTTTGTTGTCAAATAACAAATTAGATACTCATTTGACAAGTATTCAGCTAACATAAACTATGTAATCTGTGTGTGCATATTCTTTTATGTAAAATGTGGTGACAATCGGCAAATAGCCTGTTTGTTATCAGAATAACCAGATTAAGGCTTTATTCTACTTCTTTTCAAACATACTGTGATTTGTTTTTGCTCCTAATGAGAAAAATACATTTCAAAAATTCCAAGTTTTAAAATGGCTTGGATCCGGACTAGTAGAAGAATGATAATAATATCGATGATGAAAGGAATTCAATAGTTTTGTTTTGAAAATGACGTTACATTGTCTAAAACAATAGTTGTTTTTATTATGATTATGTTATCAAAACTGCTATTGAGTACTGAACTTTTAAGGTAAAATTTAGATTTTTGTTCTTCAAGTGAGGAAATTGAACTTGACAAACCTGATTTTTAGATAAAATTGTCTTTTCAGGCTTTATGCCGTCAGTTATGCCTGCATATGGAAAGTTACCATGCATCATCACGTGACCCTGCTATTTATTTGTCACGCTGAAATGGGAGATGGGTTATTAATAATTTGATAAAGAGTGCAGCCACTGTCCCAGAGCGGCCTGGATAAGTATGTGTTTGCATTATACTGGTTAAGCTGGAGGGACTCAGCAGCAGACCAATTTGAGGGGTGCTGAGTAAAGCCTTGACTGTTCCTATCCAACCACACACCCACCTCACATGGAGCACTGCACGTGACAGTCCTCCCAGGTGCCCACAGCTCCTCAAAATCTAAGAGGAATTTCAACAGCAAAATCACCAGACCATAACCACTGTACATAGAACCACGTTTCTTATCTCACAAAAACTATGTTTATGTGGCAAGACCGGCTTTGAGGGTCTAGGCTGCAGGTGCTCTTACCTGGCGTTCCGTGGCGCTGCGCTGGTGGGCTATTTAAGCGCTCCCTTCTCAATCGTTCCGCCTTTTGGCTCACACGCTCTTCCGGGCCTCTCCTTGTGGCCGCTCTGTCCTCCAGCTCAGGTAACGTTCACTTTGTAAATTCCATGCCCGTTACATCAAATTTCCCATCACGTTTCCTTTTAGTGTCGCTGCTTGGCCGGTGCTCTCACCACATCAGTCCCTCGCGTCTCCGAATCACGGAGCACCTAGGGCGCGCTTTCGTCTCCCTGATAAGGTAATGCACGCCCGATACTCCTCCACTCATTCATCCGTGCCCATACTTTTACCGGTGTCTCTCTGTAGCTCCACGGGTGAGCCGAGCGAGTCCCTCCCCATTGCGCTTGGCGGTGCGCCGCCGTGTCTCTTAAACCGCGGCGGCAGGTAACCAAACCCTTATCACGTGCTACCTGTGCCAAACCCCTCTAAATTGTATGTTTGTAGCGTGTGCCGGTCCACGTTGTCTGGACCACTTCTGGACGGCGTTATCCTGTGTAGTTGCCTTTGATTCAGCCTGGGGATTACGCACTGTCACCTTCAACCACGGTACGTTTAGCTCAGATCCTTGCACTGCAGGCTCCGATTTTAATTCCAAAATTTAATTTTCTAGGTGTCAGCGGGGGCCTGCAGCGGCGTGAGGACACCACCTCTGTTTTTTTTTTTTGTTTTATTTTGGTTTTGCTCTGTTTTGTTTTGCTTCAGTTTTGCTTCGGGTTTTGGGGTTTTGCTTTGCATTTTCAATATTGTGTACTCGTTTTCTCACTGTAGTGTTTTACTGTTTGCTGATTTATTTATTTTTTTATGGATGTAGCTACTTTTAAACCACTTAAATCTGTCTTTTAAAATAGAAAAGAAATAAAGATTTGTGCAAATGATGGAACCTGGCTCTCTCTCCCTTAATGATATGCTTACCTGTGTGCCTTACGTTTAGATTTCATTTCCCCAAACTAGATTTGGGGTGGCGTTGTTGCAGCAACACATCATAAAACTTAACATTTCCCGGAGTGTTGAACCCCTCGGTTGCCACATTTACATACTACGATTTCACTTTAAATATCAGACAGCTGTTTTCATTGGACGTGTTCCAGTCCATACTTTGATGCATTGTGTATGGCCCTAAGCGCACATATGTTAAAAATTAAGTTGGCACTCTCTTGAATTCGATGGCAGATTCAAAATATGTCCTTAATTGAATCCAGGAGTTTAATATTGAAAAAAATAAAAGTGGATATTTGACCCACTGCAACATTCGAAAGCACAAGTCGTGCTTTCTAATGTTGAATGTTGGCCACAGGAAAGCTGCAGCATGACCCTGGTTTTATGACAAAAGTCTGAATGCTAGTTTCTCAGTCATTCAGAAAAGAGCTGAACTGCACATTGAAAACATGTCCAACAGCATTCTTTTTTGGGAAATTGTCATCATATTTTCATAACTACAAAGATCTTGGCAAAACAGATGACTTAATCTTAAACTTAATCTTTTGACATTCTAGTGATTTATCCACCAATAGGCTACATTTTCATGTCATTTAAATGATAAATATGATGTTATGCAAATGTCATTAATGCATGGCTTATATTGTTTTAGCATGAATGAGAATTGACTACTGTTATGGTTGCTGGATAAGGCTTATAGGGTGTTTCCGTTTGTGAAAACCCGAACACGGGGGGGGGGGGGGGGGGGGGGGGGGTTTCGTCTAAACCAAGAATCTTGGCTAATCTTGGACTTGAGAGAGAACGCTGTTTCAGTCACGTGATCATGATGATGCGTGAATTTCAGGTGGAGGGCAGGAAGAGAAGACAAACATGACAAACACGGCTCTGGAGAACACAGATATGGAGAAGAGTTCTTATTGTAAGGATTTAGAGCCAGTAGCAAGGCAAAAGTACGAGCAGTTAGTTGACAAATATATTTGGCATGACCCAATCTTATTGAAAATGAGAGAATTTTCAACCGAAGTAAAAGATTTGCCGACAATCGAGGCAGAGGATATCACGAACTATTTAGCTCTTCAGACATCGTTCTACACCAGACAACAGATGAAGGCGTACAAAAGTTTGGAGGCATATAACTTTTTTTTGTCAGTGAATGGGTCCTCAACCTTGGTGCAAAACGCCTAAATGATGATTATCGTTTGGTCTTCGCCAGGGTTGAGTGTTTCTCTTATTTTATGTGTATAGACTGTTATGGGAAAAACTGCAGTGTATTGGCAGTAACCAGTCTATCTGGGTAACAGGTTTGTAATCCACTTTTTTTTCTGTCAGCTTTTCCCATTTCTGACTTTTGTGGACGACTATATTCGGTACTCTAAAAAAAATCGCTTTTCCTTCTCTCGGTTAGAACAATTGGCACAGCCGTAAACTACACAACACATCGGCATTTTCCTCCAGTCAGTTCACTTCATGGATCTATTAAAATAACTGGATACAGTATTGCTGCTTGTAGCTGCCTCGAGTTGACGTAGTGGCCACTCAGTGGTACTACAGTCGAAAAAATCCCATGGGCCGAGAGATTTTTCTCATAGAGCGCAATGTAATCACAAACTGCTCGTGTTCGGCTGACAGGGCACCTACAACTTTCAAAAATGTCGGATTTTGTGGCGATTTTTACCTATTTTTAGATCATGCACTTTTTCTCAGCTCAAAATCCTTCAGTTGTCTTAACAAACGCTTTATAATCATTAGCTTCGGATACGCTCTGCTTCGCTCTAGCTCCTCTCGCTCTGATTGGTCAAAGCGATCACGTGATACACGAACCCGCGCACCGTGCGCGCGTTCGCGTGCGTTCGCGTGCATTCGCGTGTGCCCGTGGGAGAAAAGAGCACTACTGCGCATGCTCGGTCGGCCCACAGCCACCGGAAGTACCTAGCCAGGCTAGGCTAATCTGGGATCATGCGCCATTGAGCTCAGCCCATTGACTTGAATGGGCGGCCATTTTGGAACCTGGGGGCTTGGTTCACTTCCTGCCCTCCATCTAATTTTGCGTGCTGACAAACGTAGCCCTGTGACGTCACGTGAAACCCAGCTTTTCGCGCTTCATCGTGATCACGTGACTGAAACCCTCCTATTGCAGCGTGAGGTCCTTTCTCCTCCAAGTCCTTTCCGACGGTGAGTCCTGTTTCAGTTCAGGTTTAGTCCTGGTTTAGTCCTTGTTGAGTCGTGGATTAGTCCTCCTCTTCAGTCCTGGAATCAGTCCTGGGTTAGTCCTGGTTTGGTCTTGGTTCAGTCCATGGCGTAGGCAGCGCAAAAGTTTGATATAATTTCCGGTTAACGGGCGGGTGCGGTGTTGTACTGGGTATCATTCGTTCATTCGTTTTTCAATATAAAATCAAAAATAAGAAAACGAAAACACAACAGTTTTCTTCATTATTTGTCTCCAAAACCAAAATTTAAAAAACGGATAACGATTCATTTTTTCAGTTTTCGATTTTGTGTTTAAATGAAGAATGGAAAAAAACGAATAACGACCGTTTACGTGACTTCCGTGACTGCGATGCCGGACTTTTGCACCTCGTACGGACTGAACCAGGACTGATCCAGGTCCGGGACCAGACCGGGACCAGAGCCGGACTGAAACCCAGACCAGACCAGGACCAGAGGACCACTGGACCACTGTTTGTGTCTCGCTCCTTCTGAGTCACAGAGAACTACGAGAGACACTCAGTTTAATGAACGGTACTGAAAACCCCAACATTTGCATCACTTTATAAAAAAAAAAACCCGGATGCCCAGGACAGGACGCAAAATACTGACATGTCCGGGGGAAAACGGACGTTTGGTCACCCTAGGATAAGGACTAGGGATGGGCATTCGATGAAATTTTCTTAATCGATCGTCGGAAGAATTAACGATCGATTATCGATTAATCATTAACGTTTTTATATGAAAATTATCATCATTATTATTACTATCTGCACTACTAATCTGCATAAATAAATTCAACTTTACGACATATAAACCGTAACGACTCTAGAGCCACATTAATCCGTTTGACATTATAATGTGTTTAATTCAGTTTTGTGCAACTCTCACAGAAACGAAACTTAAAACCACATCGCTAATTTGCATAAACTCAGCGAAGATAAAACTACAGCTCTTGTGTCGCTGATGCGGTCAATTTCTGTCGGATTAAAAGACATGATTCAGTGGAATACAGGTTAGTGTGACCATATTTGCGTTTGTCAAAACCAGGACACTGTATGGGGGGTGGGAGGTTGGGACTCGTCATCGACATTGCGCGACTCTCACCTGGTAAAGCTTTTTCCCACTGGACACCGAAACATATGTGCTGCTTTGTACACTGTGCACATGGACTCCCACTTGTCCCGAACGCAACAGAAAGCGTGGAATTTCTTGTACAAATCATCGTTAAATACACATTTGTGCTTCGGCACGCTGCAGGCTGACTGACTGTTTGTGTTTGCTCGCTCCTTCTGAGTGCAGAGAGCTACACGTACGGACCCCTGTTTGGTCACGCTACGCACAGCAACATACATTCGGTTTGTCGATTAAAATTAACGTAATCAATGAAATTCTTAATGATCAATTATCGATTAATCGATTAATCATGCCCATCCCTAATAAGGACACACCAAGTTTTCATAAACCCTAGCCTGATGCCAATTGTGGATAATCTTTGTGTTCCAAGTTACCATGGCAACACACTAGCTAGTTAGTGTTAAACAGTTTCTGACAGGCTACTGTTCATACAGAAACCTGTCATATTTTCCAACATCAAAGGTGAGTGTGTAACTATGGATATAGTAAAAGCTAGCTTGTAAATGTAATATGTTGTGATGGGAGTTGTTTAACAGCACAAATCATCTCAACTGTCATATTTGTTATTTCTCTATGATAGGTTGATTGACGTATATATTTGATTTGGCAAATATATCGATATGGAAAGCAATTAGAATTACAGTATAAATGATAAAATGTGTAATGCGTGCTTAAAGATGGCTTATACATTTGTACTTACTTGTTATGGGCTACTTAAGTTATAGAGTTAGCTATAAGTTCTACTTCCACTCCTCACACCTTATGTCTTTCATTATAACTGAGAGGAAAATCTGAGCTATTGTATTCCATATTCACGACGTACCTACCGATTGTGCAGTTGTAAACATACAGTGCATATGCTCATATACAGTAGAGAGAGCACAAGAGCCACGTGAGAGCTTTTCAGGCTTTTGTTGACTTTGGCAGTGAGCCCCCCCCCCCCCCCCCGTCCTGCCCGCCCCCTATGCATCACAACACACCCATACAGGACGCATACATTCGACTCCTACCCCTATCTCATTCCTTTCCTTTAACAAACACTTCCCTTTTCTCTGGCCACTATCCCAAGTGCATTCTTTCATTCCTGGCTGCCCATACGTACTATGCAGTATAATGACTGGGTGGGGGCTGTATGGCTGTTGTTTATGACTACTGCCAGAACAAAAGCCTTTTAATATTCTTACATAATACAAAGGATCAAATAAATACAAAAATACAACCAAGATATGTCACTCCGCAAATAGTGATTGGAAGGAAATAGTAAAACTTCATTATCCCTGCTGACGGCTTTAAACATGTTAATCTGTAAAGCAGTGGATGCAAGTCAGTGCCAACTAGCATAAGATTAACACACATAGTAATAGACTCCTTTTTACCATTTTTAGATGCCATATGTCAATGCCATGACCACAACATGCATGTGCTGCTCTATGTACACATACATGTTAAGCTTGTGGTGACCTGTCAAGGTTTCCACTATTTTCATTGTTATGGGTAGGTCTCTGTCTCTTGCTGTCATTCTTATTTTTTATTTATTTTATTTTGTATCTAGTTTGTGTTTTTTGAAACTCTTAGAAAACACACTGTAAATGCATTGTTTGATCACCATTTTAAAAGAGACATCATCAGCCTGTAAGCAAATTCCTGTTGACCATATAGTTGTGAGACAGTCAAGACAAATCCAAAAATATTATTATACACATTAGTTTTAGCAGTGAGTGCACTGTCTAAATAATGTACCATTTCTGGTGGAGTTTATGCCACATGCTTGTCTCCATGGGTGTGTTATTGTCTTGTCTGGAATGTTCACCAGTAGGGCACTACACTTACAGAGAGAAGTAGATTAGACCATCAGGCCAGGTTACAGGTTAGATATGTGAAGAAGTAACCTCACTCACCGGATTTTTTATTTTATTTAATTTTTAAGATATTTTTCAGATGTTTTATGCAGAGGAGACTTGAATATTGAACACATAGCATTGTCACACTTGAAGTGAAGAACCGTGGCAAGTCAGAAGACTATACACAGAAGACATCTGCTGATGCGGTGTTCTATCTTGACAGAACAACATTAGTTATTCTGTTATTCTCTCATTTGTTATATTGTTTTTGTTGTAAATTCCCTAGTATAACTGCTAGTTCATTATCAGTTCAATGTCATTGTCAATGCCCATACAGAACCACAGACAGCATTATTTAACAATGAAACAATGTGTTAGATTTCATCTTCATATAAAATTTTGAATCCTCATCCAACCAGGGTTCAGATTAGCATTTAGGGAACAGCATTTCTCCATTGTTGCTGTCCGTTCAGTCCACACTAGTAGCAGCTGCAGATTTCACCCCCACAGTACAGATGGATTAATTGTTTATGAACACAGCAGATGCGTGCGCAGCTTGAGTGCAGAAAGTACTGCTGTCTGTGCAGTTAACATATGGATCCCCAGATACACTAAAATTGTAACTATGTGAAATTATTTATCACAGTAGTGACAATACTTATTCTCAGTTGTTATTCTTGTCTTATCCACAGGGAGAGTGTGATTGGTCCCAATGGCGCTGAACGTGCCTGGTTTGGTGGTGATGGCCGTCTTCTACCTGGTCATCTTGGGGACGGGCATCTGGGCCTCAATGCGCTCTCGGAAAATGGAGAAGATGTGTACCGGAGACGGCATGGAGATCACACTCTTAGCTGGACGCAACATTAATCTACTGGTCGGGGTCTTTACATTGACAGGTGAATGACCCCAGCTGTTTGCGTGATAATTTGCATTGGTTTTGTGGCTCACGTTCTTTGATATTTCTCTTTGCAGCGACCTGGGTGGGTGGAGGCTTCATCCTTGGTATCGCAGAAGCCACTTACAACCCAACACTTGGAGCTGTCTGGGCTCTGATGCCTGTGCCCTACATTGTGACCTTCTTCCTTGGTAAGATAATGTTGATAATTTAAGAAAGCAACATTAACCCATTTCTCAAATCAACTCATGTATCAGTTCATGTCAATTCTGTCCTTAGTCTGAATCAATCCATTGAGCACACAGCTTTTACACTCAGTTGGGGAGACAACTTACATACATAAGATGAACATAGCAGTTTAGTTTAGCATAAAAAGCACCAGAACCAGGACACTCACAGAGGATAATGGCTAAGAATGAGGTAAACTGTTAACAAACTAGGAGCCAGACAATGAGATCTTGACTTTGTATAACATAAAAAATCTCACATACAATTTATTAACAGCCTAAATGACTGATTATCAAGGTTACTGATTTAAAGATTTCCATAGCACTGATATTGTCGTCAAATGTTATATTTACCTTATGTTTAATGTAACTATTTAATATTTTAAATTTAATTATGCCTTTTACGTACATTAATAATAATAATAATAATAATAAACAATTGCAGCAAGGAAGTGGTTAAGGCGTTTGCGTGTAAACGATGTGAACAAACGAAGGGAAATGTCTCCATTTTTAAAAATACCCATGTATGTGTAAACGGGGCCTAAATTTGTGCGCCAACACAAACTCCACCAGAAAAAATAACATAGTGCACCTTTAAATGTTTTTGAGGCTACATCCACACGACAACGCTCCTAGACTTTTTTTCTTTGCGGGTTGAAAAAAATTTGCGTCCACACATGTGCCGGATCAGTAAATATTCACATCCACACGACAACGGAGCAATGAGCGAAAACGATGTAATACGCCTGCCACACCTGTATGTGGCGCTGTTAACAATGATAATAATATTTAATAAAGCATATCACATCACCGTTTTCAAAACTTTAAGGTAATTTAGACGATTTTAGATGTATCTAGGGTTGCAAACTCCCTCAAAATAAATAAGGGACACCTCATTGGGAGGGCCGGTGTACTGTCGATTTGAGCTACCTGTCGTTTTGAGCTACATAGCACTACTGCACATACGAACACCCCCAAGTGCTGTTCCAGTGTAAATGCCGTCGATTTGAACTTCCGAGGCAGAAGTGGAGTAAGAAGTCACATTTTAAAAGTGTATTGGTTTTATTGTGTCTTTTGACCAGTTAAACGTGTAATCATGTGCGTGTATGTGTTAGATTTGTGGCAGAATATCTACGTTAGGCTGCAGGTAGCTCAGTTTGACAGGACAGTCCATTTCAACAGAACACTGTAAAACTGTCGGCGCCACAGTTGTCCACGCTGCTTTGTGACAGAGGGGAACCTCAGGGCCTTCGAGGTAATCAGTGAAGGCCCAAGAAAAAATACTGAATACATTTTTGTACTACTAATATCATTTTTAATTTTTTTATTCAGTGAGTAATAAACACTACAGTAGTAATACTTTCTTAATCACTGTTATAAACTTGGACTGATATTTCTTGGGAAACAAAGTCATAATATAATGAAATGGAAATGGACTAATCACTTTTTTTTTTCCAGTGGTATCTGGGTAAATCAGTGACTCCCCCCAAAAAATGTGCTGGACGCCTCTATTTGGATGCCTCAGAGACATCGGAAAGAGATGGAGGAAAAGACCTGAGAACCGAAGCTCGGAGCCCACGACCGGGGTGGAGCTCGGACCTCGCGGAGAATCGGAGCACACGGTCAGACCGGAGCTCGCGGAGGCTCAGATCCTGCATCTCAAGGGGCTTCCCTTATAAATAAGTAAATAAATAAATAAAAATAAATACATATTTGAGCTTGTTGATATATTTACATGTACAGAAAAATAAACATTCCAAAGTAAACACATTTTTTCAACTTGTATCTTCATCTTTATTCATATTGATGAACATGTTGAATGACACGTGTTGTGTTGGGGAACTGGGATCCTTGTGTCACTATATCGACACAATGTATGTGACAATACAGTGTGACACAGTTGATATGTGTCACATCAACTGCGTCACAATTAATACAAGTTGTGTTGTCCCAAATAGACCTCACTGATGTGTTGAGATCAAACATGTTGTGTTGTTTTAAACACATGTTAAAACAACACTCATGTTTCGAGTGTAGCTGCTGTCAGACCTACGGTCATGCTGTTAAACCAACACAGCCTTAGGTCTATAGCAGGGGTCTCAAACTCAAATTACCTGGGGGCCACATTAGATAAAGTCTGAGTGAGGCTGGGCCGCATTGAGTATTCGATAAATAGCGGTTGCACGGGAAAAGAGGAGAGAGAAAGAACAACACGCAACACACTTTCTTAATCTTTAATAACAGTTCAGAACATGAAAATGTATTCAGAACGTAAGTTTAAACTAATACGTCTACTCTTCTTCTTTCTTCTGAGAGATATTTGGCTTGCAGGAGGAAGCATATGAGATCCTCTGGATAGATTGAAGATGCTCATCAGTGAGCCTTGACCTGTATTAGGTGCTTTCACACCGACAGTATTTGGTGCGCACCAAACGATCCATTTGAACCAGAAGTGGTTAGCTCGGTTCGTTTGCGTTGGTGTGAAAGCGTCAATCGGACTCTGACCCGGACCAACTCAAGTGGGCCGAGACCTCAAAAAGAGGTGGTCTCGGTTCGCTTGAATCCGCACCAAATGACCAACTTTGGTGCGGTTCTTCTGGTGTGAACGCGAACCCGGGTCCAAACCACAGACAGCAGGTCCAAACGAACTATTCTAGATGCATCATGGGAGAAACGCGTCTCCTGCCTGTAATGACGCGCTGTACGACTCCAGCGCAGTAACAGATTGTCCAGACGCAGCCGCGATTCATTTTCGAAATATTTTACCAACAATGGCCAATACAGAGAATGTAACACACGAAGATCAGAGCAAGAACGTGCGAACGTGTGGCTCCAGAGTGAGTCAAAAATGGGGGTGTGTATGTAACGGTTGTTGGTCCTTCGTCAGGCCGTATAAAGGAGACAGGACACAGTGTGGAGTCAGTCCGCTTTATTCCCTCCTCTGCAGTTTCTAACGAGCCACTCAGAGGGGAAGCCAAACTACCAAAATAAAATACACGGGGGAGCAGTGCGGACTTCCGGGTTTTCAAAATAAAACTTTAAAACGATAAAATTCACATAAACTACAAATAAACATGAAATACAAACAAAAAAAAATGTGCATTTTTAACTCCGTTACATCCACCCCCACTGAATTTTATCATTCTCGAGCCACCAGTACAAAAATGCCTCATGGACAAATAACGACACTACACCAAGGGGGTCCCGCTAAGAAAGGCCAACGTAAAAGTATCCCAAGAGGATGAAGTGGAATGAGGGGGGGTACCAAACCCTCAACCCAACTACTGGCAGTAGGGTGCCTTGTACACCCCACAAAACCCCTTACACATTACAGGCTCAACTGTACCATCTCACATGACAGTGGTAGGAGACAAATTACATTTCAACTGAACTGCCAGAAACCAAAAGGGCAGATACATACACTCAAAATCAAACTAGCAAGGGATCCGAAACACAGATCTGTGAACATGTCTAGCACAAAGTGACAGGAATAACATCTTGACGTGACATAGTCTGAATAAGTCTATTCACAGGTTTAACCAAACGACCACGTCTAGTGTGTACTTGGGACTGATCAACAGAGTCAGTCACAGTCTGGTCAACAGTAGCAATCCGACTGTCAAAACTAGAGTCATGCAGTCCAGTTCTAGTGGCAGAACCGGGACCAGTCACATGTCCAGAGACACAGTCCGATATGTTTGGGCAGTACTCAGGGGACAGGTCAGAGTCATGGGGAACAGAGACAACAGTCACAATGTCAGAAATGGCGGCCTGAGTTGAGTCTGGCTCAGTCAACCGTGTAACCCACTCTAGAGTTCGTCGTTCAGAGTCAACCGACACAGAGAGGTCTTGAACAGGCCCGTGTTCGCTTTCACAAACTGACTCATTCCCGTCCACACTAGGAACAGAGCAGCCACTAGCGAATGTCGAATCATTGTCTGACACGTCACAGAGCTCAACTGGGAGAAAGCTAACTGGCAATAACAGGTTCCTGTGAACAATTTTTACTCTCCCGGAACTGTTATCACTGACTTTGTAAGTATGAGTCTTATGATTGACATCTGTCACAGTGTAGATCGTTGACTCCCATTTATCCGCGAGTTTTCTTTTGCCCCTCTCCGTTTTGTTTGCAAGAAGCACCTGTTCCCCAATTTCAATGTTTGATCCTTTCACTTTCCTGTTGTAAAGCAGAGTGTGCCTGTGTTGTTCCTTTCTGACATGTTCTTGGGCAACCAACATTGCTTCCTTCAGGTCAGTGACAAGGGACTCAACATATCTGTCATAGCCAGCTACAGTAGAATCATGAAGGACAGAACGGAACAACACGTCGACTGGCAAACGGGGGACGCGGCCGAACATAAGGTAAAATGGGGGAAAGCCTGTGGACTCATGGGAAGTACAATTGTAGACAAAAGTCAGCGTCTGCAACCTACGAGGCCAGTCAGCTTTGGCTTCAGGGGGCAACGCACGAATCATACCAGCAAGGGTTCTGTTGAAACGCTCTACTGAACCATTTCCCATGGGGTGATATGGCGTAGTGTGGGACTTTCTGACACCTGAAACTTTCAGCAACTCACTGATTAGCTGGCTCTCAAAATTTGGTCCCTGATCGCTGTGGATTCTTTCTGGAAACCCGAACACACAGAAGTATTTGTCCCATAGAACTTTCGCAACTTGTTTGGCTGTTTGGTCCCTACAGGGGAAGGCTTGTGCCATACGGGTAAAATGGTCTGTAATAACAAGCACGTCAACTGACTTATTTCGAGAATCTTCAGCAGACCAGAAATCTATACACACAAGCTCAAGTGGTCGAGATGTGACAATGCTTTCTAAAGGGGCTCTGCCTTCAGGGTCAACTGTCTTACTAACAATGCAGCGTTGGCACTTGCGGACATAGTCCCTCACATCTCTGTCCAGAGTCAACCAGAAAAATCGTTGGCGGGTCAGACTAAGGCTACGGGACTGGGCTTGGTGACCTGCCTCATCGTGTACACCACGCAGAACCTCAGCTTTGAGCGAATCTGGCACAATATATTGGTGACGTTTTGACTTTGTTTTGAGATCTCTCGAGACTCTGTACAGGACGCCATTGCTAACAGAGAGTTTGTCCCAGTGTTTGAGGTATTTCATCACAGAGACAGGCTCTTTTGCTCTTTCTCTCCTCGTTGGTCTCCGACACCTCTCAACATAGAACAACACACGGGAGATGGTTTTGTCTTTGAGTTGGCCGTCACGCAGTTCTTGTTCAGTGTATGAAGGCAGGGTGTCAAGTCCAGAAGAGACAAGTTGGGGTAAAAACTGCAGGGCAGCAACAGCACAAACTCTAGGGCCCGTGTCCCAACACACATGGGACTGCAAAACAGCAGATATTTCACTAGACTGCATTTGAAGGGGGCGCACACACTGCTGAGCACCTGATAGATCGAGGTCACAGCCCGTGGAAGAACAAAAAGCTTCTCGGACAGAAACATTTGACACATCTCTGGCTTGACTGACGAGGCTATGATATGGCTCAGCAAACAACCTTTGGCCCACGGGACCTCTGACAAACGGGACACGACTCAAAGCATCAGCTACAACGTTCTGTTGACCCGGGATGTACTTAATGTCAAAATCATAACTGGCAAGTTTGGCTACCCAACGATGCTCGCAGCAATCAAGTTTTGGTTTTGTCAGTATGTGAGTTAATGGATTGTTATCTGTCCAAACAGAAAAAGTGTGACCTTTAAGCCAATGACTAAACTTATCACACACAGCCCACTTCAACGCCAAAAACTCAAGCCTATGTGCTGGATAGTTTTTCTGAGCTTGAGATAGCGACTTGCTCGCAAAGGCTATGGGTCTTGCACGTGACTCACCCTCTTTAACTTGAGACAGAACTGCGCCTATACCATCCAAAGAGGCGTCGGTAGAGAGCACAAAGGGAAGGGAGAAGTCAGGGTGGGCTAGGACCACGGCGTTCAACAGACACTCTTTCAGCTTTTCAAAGGCATGGACATGGGCACTTGTCCAATCAGAGGCTGACAGTCTTCTGTATTGGAGTTTGGACTTATTCTTCCCTCTCTTTTTCTCACCTTTCAGGAGATCAAACAGGGGCTTGGCTTTGGCAGAGTAACCTGGCACAAAATGCTGATAGTAGTTCACCATCCCTAAGAATGACCTGAGACGCTTAGGGGAAGGAGTCACACCATCCAGCTCCATCAAATCAGTACAGGACATATTAGAGATACTCTCAACCTTACTAGGGTCAGTCGAGACGCCATTTTCATCAATGACATGGCCCAAAAACTTTACAGACCTCCGCAAGAAAAAGCACTTTTTGGGTGACAGCTTTAAGTTGTAGCCACGCAGTCTGCTAAACACCATTTCAAGGTGCTGAAGTGCTGTGTTTTCATCCGGCGCAAAGACCAAGAGATCATCTAAATAACATAGGAGACTTAGATAGTTTTGATCTCCAAAAATGCTGGTCATCATACGCATAAAGCTACCGGGACTATTACAGAGGCCCTGTGGGAGACGATTGTATTCATACAGGCCCATTGGAGTGGTAAAGGCCGAATACTTTCTGTCTTCCTCATGAAGCGGCATATTATAGAAACCGGATGTCAAATCCATGGTGCTGAAAAAACAATTGCCTCCAAGTGCAGCCAAGCAATCAGATTGATGGGGGAGAGGGTGAGCATCCTTGAGTGTTCTTTTGTTCAGCCAACGGAAGTCAGTGGAAATACGAAGGTCTCCATTTTTTTTCCATACCAGCACCAGTGGCGAAGCATACTCACTGTTTGACTTTCTGATAATCTCCTTCTCCTCCATCTCTGTCAGAACCTGGCGCAACTTGTGGTACTGGCTCGGTGGAACACGCCGGTATGGCAGTCTGAATGGTCTGTTATCTGACAGGCGTATGCGGTGTACAAAGCTTTTCGCCTCTCCACAATCCAGATGGTGGCGTGAAAAGATGTCTTGGTACTGTAAGACAAGGTTAGCCATCCTACGTTTACACTCATCTGACACTTCGCATGAGTCAATGTCAACATTGGTGAGGCCCATAGACTGAAACTGTTCCTCTATTGTTTCAAGTTTTGTAGTCGGCACAGTTGACGTATTGTTCTGGGACACAGTGGTTATATTGCTATCAGAGTCAATGTCCTCGAGAGCCACACAAGTGTACACATCGGCCAACTTTGCATTACGCCTAATGAGCACTGGTCTGTTAGATGTGTTAATGAGTCTGACAGGGACCCATCTATCGCCCCATAGATGGGTGACAACTTTGGCAACTATAACACCTCGGGGAGCTGGGCGTGAAGAGGTGGGCTCAGTCAACACAGTAGCACCTGGGGACACGGGTGTATTCTTCGGCAGCTTACCCCACAGGAGATACTCACGCCCAGGCTCGAGACAGGTAGCCGAGTTGCACCTCACTGTGCCAACTTTGTCTGGAATAGAATCACCTTGCCACTTGTTTAGACCTGAGAGCATAGAGAGAAACTGCAAAGATTCAGGGTTGTCAGGGGAACTGGACACCGCTTGCCAATATGAATCACATTGTTTCAACTGACGGAATACATGCTTAATCACATTCGCACCAACAATGACATCATCGTGCTGGCCCTGGACCACAAGTGTGGGGACTAACATTTTACAACCATAGACTTCCATCTCTACCTCAAAAGCACACTTGGGTTTAACATGTAGTCCACCACAACCAACTAGGACCACATCTGCAGTAATCAGCATTGCATCTGTAAGTATACCAGCCTTCCTGAGCGTCTGTTCTGCACTCTCACTAATGCTGCAAGCCATAGAGCCACTATCTAACATCCCACCCATCTTAACTGTACCACCAAATGACACGGTAGTGTAGAAAAGGCTGTCACTACTGCCTATCTTTTGCACGTTCTGGTACACGACAGTTTCATGGCTGGGGCATGACTCTAGAGCAGAAGAATACACAGACTCAGCATCAGAAAACAAGTCAGATTGGGAGTGTTTGACAGGACCTGTACTGCCTCCCACCGGATACAGGTCACTCAGTTTCCCTGATTCTGGGGAGGGCCCGACTCAGATGTAACACGGGGGCATTTGGATCTAGTGTGGCCAGGAGCAAGACATTCGAAGCACAGTCTCTCGGACAAACAGTGTGAGATCGTGGAGTGACCTGCGGTGTCACACACTCTGCAACTTGACTCTCTGGGACGGCGTTGGCGAGCACGAAAAGGTCCACTGTTTACCACAGGACGGGCTCTGGGCAGCTGCACTTTATCCAACACTTCCTGAAACATCTCAACCATACGACTCAGGAACCTCTCCTCTGACTGCTGGAGGTTCTGGGCTACAACAGGGACGGACGCAGCTTGTGGAGCAGGGGGTGTGGCAAAACTGGTGTGGCTATGAAGTGCCTGCACATTAACATCAGCAGAAGGGAGACAACAACTAACTGACTGACACTGATCGGGCAGGTTAACTGGACTAGGCTGTTCAGGGGTCAAAGCAGCAGCGTGGACTTTGAGCTGTGTAGCACCATATGCTCTCTGGTTCGCCCGCATTTCTCCCTGATAATCATCAATTCTCAATTGAACATCTTTTGATGACCACTCATGAATAGGCTTCCATTTAAACGTGGAGGACAGTTCCGGGTCAGGGCAATGTTTAACAAACATGAGAGCCACTTCATTATTCAAACTGCCTGTCGCATTACCCTGTCTCTGCAAACCCTCTTGTGCTCTGTCAGCAGCTTTATTCAGTCTTATCCAGTAGTCAACAGGATTTTCTTTGTGATTCGGCAGGGTAGCATAAAAGTCTGCAAGAGGAAGACACGAGGGGGAATCACTGAAATAACGCAGCAGAATATCGTAAATTACAGTGGGCTTATTTACAGCATCAAGGTCAGGGTTACCACGGAGGGCTATCTTAACTACGTCCCTGGCTTTGCCCAGTAAATGTCCCATGATTTCTTCAACCTGTTCACACAACGGTGTCCCCTTTTTCCTGAGGTAAGTCTTAGTCATGTCAATCCAGTCCTGGACTGAAACCTTGTCAGTACTGTCACCTCTAAATGTCTGTAGTTCACGGTCAGGTGCAACATGCACTGTCACATGGGGAGAGTCACATTTGGTCACGTCACACATGGGAGAGGGTGCGGGAGTGGGTGTCTGAGCATCACTGGACAGATTAACAATACCAGCTGACATTAACTTAGCCACTATCGACTCACCAATCTGGGCACCTATCTGGCCCATCATATCAGTAAGTTGGTGAATGGTAGTAACATCACTGTTGGGAGTAGACGTTTGTACCTTGTCACTAGTAAACCCACCAACATCCGTAAAAACCTCAGGCATTGTAGCTGGACGTCCCACATTCCCACTGCTAGCATCACGTCTCCATAACCCTCGACCCTTAGGTAAAACTGGAGTGGCGAAATCATCCATGTTAATTACTCAAAAGTATAACGTCAAACTGTACTTGCGTTGTGTAACCAAAATAATTCACTTTCTTGGTAACCGAAAATAAACACCCTCAAATAGTCCTTGTATTGCACCAGCCACGTCTCAGCAGAACCAGACCAAGGCGCAGGTGAAAGTCAGCACGGCAGGAGGGCAACCACGGCGATCGGCGTTGAGCAGATCAGGAGATCCGAGAGGTCACGGCACCAGTGTAACGGTTGTTGGTCCTTCGTCAGGCCGTATAAAGGAGACTGGACACAGTGTGGAGTCAGTCCGCTTTATTCCCTCCTCTGCAGTTTCCAACGAGCCACTCAGAGGGGAAGCCAAACTACCAAAATAAAATACACGGGGGAGCAGTGCGGACTTCCGGGTTTTCAAAATAAAACTTTAAAACGATAAAATTCACATAAACTACAAATAAACATGAAATACAAACAAAAAAATTTTTGCATTTTTAACTCCGTTACATGTACTTCTGTTCAGGACCTGCACAGAGGTCCCTTTGTTCCCCGTGATCATGTAGGAACCAGCATTTGTTATTTTAGGCTTTAATTAATCAAATAATTTTATGGCAATAGGCAATCGCCCATTCAATTGATTCACCTTTAAAAATGTCCTGCTTTTAGCCTAGTGTGAGAAATACAGTCGGACTAGATCCAAACCGGAGTCCCGAACCAGCAGGAGCAGCTCCGGTTCTGTCCGGGCTCAGACGACGTGGAGCGGGGAGTGAAAAGCGCTTTTCCCGGGAAGAACCAAATGCGGACACCAACTAAACTGGATTCACGTTCTGTCCGGATGCTTTGCACAACCTCAGAACCAGCCGCGGTTCTTGAGCGCGGAGGACAGGAGCAGCACAGACCTGTAGGTGTAGTCCACAGAACATTCTCACTTTCCCCGCACGGAACAGGGAACCAGCGCGCAGACGGCGGAACGTACCCGCTCAGACCCAGTCATTGCGCACTGATCTTGTTCGCCACCGTCTGGAACCAGCACATGGAGGATGGAGCCTCCGGACCATCTGACCAACGCGCTTGTAGGACGACAGAAAACCAAGGACCAGACCCCAGCCCCGTCCTGAGGAGCTGCGCGCTACGCTGAACGCTGTTGGCTTCTGCTGTTACCCGAACTCAGAACTGATGCGGTGAGTTTGTAGAAAGTTCTACGTTGCTGTTTTATGAGTTCGTGGTGATAATTTGAGATGAGGACGCCCGCGGTATTAACAGGGAACATCAGTATTGGTTACTGGAGATATCACTGTTCTACCGGGATACAGAGGCTCGTTAATCGGACCAGTTTTGGTTCGTTTGCCGGTGTGAAAGCACCACACTGGAGTGTATCTGCTTCTCGGATGTCAAACATGGATGGAAGACGCTTCCCACATAGCAAAAAATATACGCGGCGGATCCGCAGAACGGATCCGCATCGGAGTTCACTTGCACATCGCCGCGGATCAGCAACGGATCAGCCGCGCCTCCGCCGCGGATCCGTCAAAATAAGCCCGGATCCGCGGCGGAGGCGCGGCTGATCCGCTGCGTATCTCGCGGATCCGCCCAGGACCCGTTTTGGATCCGCTTTCAGAACCGGGTTATCTGCCGCGGATCTGTTTATTGTGTCGTTAGGAGCCTAAATATGCTTCAGATTTAATACTGATCCACTTCCTACTGACCTAAATACACACCAGCAGCATTTGCATTGTAATTGTACATAAAACTTTTACAGCAAGTATTAAAACTAGGATATAAAGGCTTAAATTTAAAAACATAAACTTAAACAATTTCAAAGTTGGATCAGTGATATCCTATCACTAAATCTCATTAGTTAAGAAAAAAAGAAACTTTTTTTTTTTTTACATTGTAAACAATATTTATTTAAATCATTAATTAGAAATCTTAGGACATGAATAATTATTATTAATGTTATAGGACTTATATACCCTTTGAGTTAACCAATGCTTCATTCTTAATATGAAAATGACAATTTACAGTTTTTACTAAAAATAATTCAAGTTAAGCAAAGTTTTTGTTTTTTTTTAAATGGCAAAAAACAAATATAAGCTATATGAGTAAAAGCCTGGACAGATGAGACAGAGTGTAGCCATACCATACTGTTTAAAACTAAAACTTAACTTGTGTTTACCACCACAGAACAATTAGACGGGTGGTTGTTCTTATAGTGTGCAGTGTGGGAGCTTCAGAGCCTCTGTCTTTAGCTTCAGTCTGAGGCAGAGGTTTTGAGGCAGAGGTGCAGTGAGTCTGGCTCCTCTTCAGTCCTACTGGTGAAGATCCAGTCTGTCAGTGTCCAGCTCTGGGCTTCCCCTTTCTCACAGCATCTGAAATGACACCAGTGTGTATTAAACACCCCATTACACCTCTTATTCTTGTAAGGAGTTAGAGTTCAGGTTTGTGAAGAACATTGTAAGTCATGACAGTGGCTGTGTGATTTGAACATGAAAGGTAAACACTTGATTGGAGAGATCTGTGCACTTACAGAGGGTCAGTCTTTAAACTCCACCACAGCAGGTTCTGAAAGAAACAATATGCACAACAACAGGTGTGATTATAATGTGCATATGTTTAGTTATGAAAGTTAATAAAAGTAGGATAATACAGTAAACTTACAGAGGGTCTGTCTCTACATTTTTGGAACTTGGCCCAGCAGAGGGAATTCTGTAAAACATCAAATAAGAGAAACACAAATATCAGTTTGGATCATTTCAGGCCCCAGTGTTTAATCCAAGTGCAGTATTTACCTCCAGAGGGTCTTTATCATGCTGTTCTGTCCATCTTCTTATTAACCATAGTATATTCTGAAACAGAGATGAAAAACATTATTTAACTCATAGGAAATACTTTAGCGCAGTAAAACTGAACTCTTTTGTTTTAGTATAAGCCTGAGTATGAACATGAGACGTATTTCACTGCTGTTAATACACAATACTCTACTACATTTACTTTTACCACAACATTTAAAATATAATAATCAATTTATGATGGTGTTCAGAGTCAATATCAGTGTAATATAGATGTGACACATTAGTGTTCATGTCAACATCTCTCACTGAAAGTCTGAAGCACCGTCTCAAGTTAGAGACAAAGTCAGATCTGACTCCAAACTAAATCTTCACTGTCACAAAAATCATTAAAAGTACTTTTGTGATCAGTGTGCAGGGCTCCTGATGGGGACATTCAGCAGAAGGACAGGGGCTCCTGATGTCATCTGGTTGGTTAGCTAACATTAGCTGTTGTTAAAAGTTGTGCTTTTTATTACGTTACGTTATTGTATTATGGCACGTTGCGTTAAATTATTGTATTAAGGCACTGACATGACTGCACTTTAGTCTCAACTCAACAGTCAACACTCTAGTCTACACAAATAATAATTATCTCTGGTTAAAAACACAACCAGATCAGACACCGGTGTCACCGTCGCTCCACAGCCGAAGGGAGAGCGCCGAGAGCGGCGTCCAGCCAGAGCCGAGCCCGTTAAACACGACCAATGATCACGGAGCAGAATTACAATTCTGTGATCGTAAAAATATACAAGAATATAAGTAGCTTTATATAAAAATAGTATTTAGACTGGGATCTACCTCAAGAGATGGAGTTATCCTGACTCCTGACCTCACATCGTCTTCATCACGTCAGCTGCTTCTGTCGCTAACTTTCCTACTGCGCTCGTCAAAACTGATAAAACACACAGAGTCACAGATGTACAGACACCACAATATAACGTTAACGTTATGTACATTAATGATGACTAATACAATTAACTTTTAAACTATTACTTACAGTGAAATCCACAGACAACAGGTGGATGTTGTTTCTTTCTCTCAGGTTCTGATAACGGCTGAGTCAGTGGCGCGTCCGCGCAGCGAATCCGAACCGGGTTACCCGCGGATCCGCGCATTGATAGTACAAATCATTGTGTCAAAAACAAAGTGTTGTGTTAAAAGTACGTTCACAGTGTGGATCTAAGATGATTTAACCGCAGATTCTCTCTGTAACAGCAGGCCATCCAAGGGTTAGGGTTAGCAACAGTCAGAATGCGAATACGGAACAAATACGCAGCGGATCCGCAAAGCGGACGGACTGTGGGGCAGATTTGGCGGACCGAAAGCGGATCCGCTGCGGATCCTGATGCTAGTAGGGTTGTTTTTGCCTCGTACTTTTTGCTAACATGTCGCCAAGCCTCTGGAATAGATCACTGCAGTTTTGTGGTGCTTGCATATTGATGGGACAGCTGTGTTTGCCGCTGAGTGCGCGTGGATTTCGGCGACGCACAGGTGGAGTTTGGTCATCGGGTTGCCAGCAAGTTACGCACCGAGTGTTGAGCAGGTAAACAGACTGTCAATGTCTTTTTATTTCTTATTAGCCCCTCCAATAAAGGTCCCATACTTATGAACAGGGGAATTGCGTCAGCGCCTCCTCTGCGCTCTGATGCTGTGGTTGTGGGAGCGTAAAGTGAAGTGCGCACACGTGTACCACCATGTGTGGTTTGTTTTGGTTCTTCGGTGACGCCGTATGTGCACGTGTACTTGTATTAACAGATCCACTTAGACTCGTTGCTTCACAACTGCTGTAAATTGAGTTTTGGGATGTAAACTGCGTTAATAATCTGTTGTGAATCTGCATGGGCACCGATTGCAGCTTCATCTGTCAGTGCGGCCCGCGGTAGGGGGGTGAGATTGTGCTTACATCTACCGCGGGCCACACTGACATTATTCTTTGGAATCAAGTGGAGGGCCGCAAAAAATCTTTCCGCGGGCCGCAGTTGGCCCCCGGGCCGCGAGTCTGAGACCCCTGGTCTATAGCAAACACTTGTGCTACTGGTTTAAAGCAGCTAAATCGAAGCCTCTGGGAATCCCAAAAGCCACTGGATACGTGATGGATCTAAAACAGTGGACCAACATCAGCAGCTGTAACTCCTGAGCTACCTTCTAAAATAACTCCTGAGTGAACTCCTGACTCCTGACACTTGTGGTTGTACCTTCTGTTGAGGTAAACTCATGAGGAATTCCTCATACTTTTGGTCATGGTTTAGCTGGTTCATTGCTTTGACCTTATTCTCCAAGTTCTGGTTTAATAATTCCAAAAGTTCCGGACTTGGCAGGTCGGCAAATGCAGCGCAGTACTGTGCCTCCAAGTTGTCATTGATACCCTGCAGGTTCAAGACTGTCTTTATGTACTCTTTGTTTTTAGACAGTAAATATTTGATAGGACCCGTTTTACCGACCACATCCAAACCAGCAATATCTAACTGTAGGTCACATTGGCGTCGTAGAAGCGCTTTCCTCTCACCTTTAAGCCTTTCCAGATGAGATTTTAGAAGCTTCTTGCTTCCAGTGTCATCTTCAAGTTCCAGAACTTGTTTGTGGAGGTTGTGGTTTTCGGTTTTCACATCGCTTATGGCGGCCGTGACCGCCTGGAGATCCTTCTCAGTGGAGCTGTACTTCTCTACCTCTTTCTGGAGCTTCTGTTTCTTCTTCAACAGCTTCTTATTCAGTTCTTTAACCTTGCTGTCTTCCATATCAATGTTCCTGAAAGTCTCCCGCATGGCTTTGAGATCCAGCGCTCTCTCTTGCAAAGCGGTGATTTTCCGCAGCATCTGGTTGTTGTCGGCCCTCATCTGCTGCATCCTCTCCACTTTTTCCCTGTACCTGTGCTCCTCCAGCCGTAGAGCGTCATACTCTTGTGTTTTATTCCTAAGGTGTTTGTTCAGCTCCGAATTTTCACTCTTTAGGGAGCTCAGTGACAACTCTAAGGCCTCACATTTCTTCCTCCAGCACAACTCATTCGCAATCTTCCGCTTCATCTCCAAGATCTTCTCCCGTAAAAGCCCATTTTTGACCAAGCCACAGTCCGTCTCAGATTTCAACTGAGCGTAACGTGCCTCTGTGTTTCCTTGGTGGAGTTTGGATTCTAACTTGGCGTATTCTTCAGCCAAAGCACCGTTTTGCTTTGTCAGCGATTTCAGTTCGTCCTCAAGTTTTCTGATTTGCTCTTGGACTGTTTCGACGCTCGTTACTTTCGTCCGCAGCTCCGAACACCGCTCGCGAAGTGCCCGATTGTCTGCACGGACGGGATCAATTAGAGAGCTTAAAGCGGCAAGGCGTTCTTCCAAGTCACGCTGAGGGAGTTGGGATTTTATCACGTCTTTTTCATATTTCAAAGTCCTGTTCTGGACTCTCAAAGATTCCAGTTCATGTTTCAGTTGATGAACTGTCTCTGCTCTGGTTTTGTTCGTCTGTAGCTCCACAGACGACTCAGGATGTGCCCGATTTT